ATAACCCCTAGTCTAAAACAATAAATGAAGGTGGTGAAAGCTGCCCCCATTTTTCCCCACTCTTACCTGCCCCATGTCTCCCGCGTTCCCGTCCATGCGTGGTCTTTTGCATTCAGCCCCCACAGGGTCCCCCAGGGCAGCGGCGCTTTGACCATCAGGCTCCGGATCTCCACGCTTCATCCCCCTGACAGTGGAGGCTCCGGTGGCCGGGCCTGGGTGCCCCGCTGCGGCTGCGTCCAGCTCTCTGTCCCGGTCCATTATACCCCGAGCCACGGGCAACATGATGGATGCAACGTCGGTCGACATTAACATTGAAGTCCGCCCACGGTCTTCCAGCTAGGGTGGGCTTATCTGAAATCTTCTCTTTTGCTGTTCGAAGCCCCTTTTACGGTCCTAAAACGACTTAAGTCGATCTAGCGCTTCTTATTCTCCTCCGAGGTCGAGCGGCGCCTCAGCGGAGCTAATGCAGCTTAGAAAAATATGAGGAGTGAGGGGGGAAATTGACGCATTAAAACTCGCCTTAGCAGCCTCCAAACCGCTGGATATCGGCCTAAAATCGTCCCTATCGTCGCTACGTCGAAGCTTAAGCGAGCTGGAAACGGATTTAGTGTCACATTCGGTGCCAATTCATGCCGGGCCTGAACGCAACCCAAAAAAAAAAATGAGAGAAGATTAGCTTACAAAACAGCGCCTTAGCCTGCGCCTCAACCTCTGCAGCACAGCCAAGGAGGAGGAAAAAATATAGAGGGGAATGTGCTTCGAAATGATTATAAGCAAATGAGGCAAAACACACGAGGGAAAGGAGCGAAAATGTTACGCAGATAAAGAATAGATACGAACGCTATACATGCACACGCTCCGAGATTTTCCCTTTCTTTTCCCTACGCATGTAACGTTAATGAGGCGTTTTTCTACGGAGGCTATTTTTCCTCAAACGCGGTCCACATCCTACCTCAGTGGAAGAAGGGCAGCGTGTTTCTTTTCCTCAACGCTCTTCCTAATCCTTACAAAAATTAGCCTGGAAGAAGGAAGGAGGGGGAAAAATCCCAAAAAAGCCCACACCACCTTTGGCTCTAAAGATGGCTGTCATGAGGAAAGGTTGGTCATCGTTTCAGTCCTTCCTTCGCCTTAACAAGCGCTTTGGTAAAACAAAGAAGTCGAATCGTGGTGTTTTTTTTTTTTTTGCTCCTCAATTTCCTTTCTTTCTCTCCCCCTCTTTTCCCTCCCTCTCTCTCTCTCGCTCTCTCTCTCGCTCTCTTTCTCCCCCAGTCGGTGTGTGTGCTTTACGGAGAGGAAGCGCTGTGTCCTCCTCCCCTCCTCCTCCTCCTCCTCCTCCTCTCCTCTCTCCCCTCCCTCTCTGGTTACAGTGTAAAACTGCCCCTCTGCCCCCCGCCTCGGCTCCGTCTGCACCCCCCACACTCACCACCCCCCACTCTCCGCCATAGCGGACTGCTCTCTACATCTCTGCAGTGCCTCGGCTTTTTTCCTCCTTCAGACTGCGTCAGATTTTTCTCTGGAAAAAGTGGTGTGGGATAATCCAACGGTTAAAATACAATAACAAATATGGAAATTACCATATTGTAAGTATGTATGAAAATGTGCGATTTTAAAACGCACTTTTTGGCAAAAATATATATTTTTTACATGTTTTACATACAAATATGTATGGTTTATATATATGTATGGTTTATATATATATATATATATATATATATATATATATATATATATATATATATATATATATGGATTTTTTTTTGAAAATGAACAATTTCAAATTGTAAAAAGCTTTTGGAGTGGAGTATATATATATATATATATATATATATATATATATATATATATATGTATATGTGTGTGTGTGTGTGTGTGTGTATATATATATATATATATATATATATATATATATATATATACATATGCCTATGTGCATATAGTCCATATATATGTAGAACACTAAAATATTTACATTAATTTGCCATTTTAATTAGAAGATTAATAGATAGCCTAAGCCCCTCTTTTAAAAACGAGTAAGCTTTTTTGTTTGTTTCAGTTTTATTTGGTGTTGTTTTTGAGACTCTTACTCCTCTGGTATGTGGAATAATAGGGTACAGTGTTGGGTCTTTAGGGAGGCTGTGCTTATTTCTGTATGAGAATAAACAGTGAAGGGCCTCAGTGGGGGAGAAGCTCAGAGTGACTCATGACTCCTCTCTCTTTCTAGAGTCACACTGACCCCTGGTGGTCAGACCATGTAAAGGTCCTCGGCGCCACACAGTACTATCATGTGTTTTCCATTAAGGCTGCCTCCTACTTCAGAGCAAATAAGGCCTCGCTCACTTCCTCTTTCTAATTTTACTGAGGAAAAGAAATGGGCGTGAGCGATGCAGCAGAGTGACTGCCACTGCTTGCATGCGTTGGCTGTGTACATTCATATGCAAAAGTTTGAGCAGCCCTGGTCAAATGACATGTTTTGTTGATTTTCTAAGTGGAAATGAGATAAAACATGGGAAAAAGCAACATGGATCAACTTCAACTCACCACGTGTATGTGCGTCACATGTACGTTGCGCAAGTGGCCACTCATGGCAGAAGGAGAGGAGAGAACCCTGGGAAACTGGGCAACCCAGCTCTGACTACTTGTGGTGTGTTAAAGCAGTGAACACTAAAATGTGTCTCCCCTGACAAAATAGAAGTTTATTCATGTGTGCTGTTAGTATACATCTCTTAAACTAAATATAAGTAAGTGTGCTTTCAGTTTACATTTATTGTGTACATATCAAAGATATATTAGACAAAATTATACTTCAGTATACTTGGCTTACACTGACAAGTATGCAGAAATGTTTAAGTCAATTTGGCCTATACTTGTGCTTATACATATACTTATTCAAATACTTGTGGTCTGTACTTGTAGTTATACTTTCTAAAGTACACTTACATAAACTAAAAAGTGGGCTATAAGTATATATCTAGTACCTATACGTTCACTTACAGTGTATTTCACAGTATAGTTGAAGTACAAAATAAAACTTAGATGTGAACTAGTTGTGTACATACAGTATACATTTATAAACTAAAAAGGGGGCCAATTTAGTCCCAAAAAGTATTGAAATAGTATACTTATAAGTATACTACTAGAAAATTGATATAAGTATACTCACTATAAATAGTATACTTGGGAAATATACTTGAACTTTGAGTATACTTTTTTTGGTAAGCGATCTCTGACAGTCCTGTGACCCTCTGGTCACGATGTCACTAACATTGCTGCTTGCGCAGCTATGAGCTCTCAAAACAACAGCTCATTATTTTTAAAGGGTGTAATAAAGAGGGGAAAGCTCTGAAATGTGCGAACAGGATTGCAGTTGCGTTTTAATTTTGACAGAGCTGAAGTGCCGTGATAAAGAAATGCAGTTGCAAATGAGCAAATGTTTGACCTTTTTTAATATATCAGACCATTAAGACAATGAAAGACAAATGTCAGAAGCACTTTGCTTTTCCATGTTAACACTATACACAGAAATGCAAATGCAAATTTTTCATTTAAATTTGAAATATGTCTTTAATAATGCACACTCGCACTGGAGTGTCTGTGTCTGTGTTTTCCACTGTTTGATTTGCTACACATGCCAACAAGAGATTTCTTAGGTTTGCTTAAGAACCCTAAAGTCTATCCAGCAAGCTAGTAGAGTAAATTGATGAAACTGTAACAGCAGTCATTTATAACAGATGGAGTAGTTTCATACCTAAAGCCCAGCAAATCAAATGTTATCATTTTGAAATATGAAGTATTTGCAAGTTTTTTTATGCTGTGGCTCATAACCAGCTTCGTCTGCCATTATTTCCGGGTCTGAAAAGACAAATTCTTCAGGGCACAGTGATTTCTGAGGACTTTCTGCTGCTGAAGGTGATTGTTTAAGAATCCTTTATAAACTTCGCTTGAGCTTAAAAAGTAATGGAAGATTGAATTAGGATGGACCCAAGGATTCTCTGGAAGATGGTAAAATACTTGCATGCACTAGGAATGTGTCTTGGTGAAATGGCACCAGTTGGCACCAGTACAAGAGTACAAATAGTGGCACCAGTACAAGAGTACAAATAACTAATACATACAGATATATGCAACACACGTCCACAAAAGCACATTATATACATATCCCTAGTGTGTAAACCAACTGTACAGGGTATTTAATCCGGTATATATAAAATGGGATATAAGCATGTTATAAAAATGACCAGAAAGACAAATAGTAATTTAGTAAAATAGTTAATTGGTCTTATGCTGGTCCCAGTCAGCTCCAGCACATGAAAAAATGGTCTATTGGTCAATTTTTGTGCACTGACCCAAACAGGAACCAAAAGAACTTATGGTTCTGGTTCTGGCTCTAGTTCAGTGTTTCACATGCTAAAGCATGACTAGCATAATAACAAATGTAGTAATGTTATAACTGAATTTTGGAGGGAAATACCTGAAAGCCTTCCTTCTTCCAATCTAGCGCTCTGTAAATTCACATCCTCACCTTCGGTTTCCCATGATGAAGGGTTCGCAATCCCCACCACCAAGAACTCCAGCCCAAGTTCTTCCCTCCTCCCTCAATCAGTCTGAACTCACAAATCAACTATTTAACTATCTTTCTGGTCATATTAAAACACTTTGAAACATCTAATTTGGCTAATTAGCTATCATGCTTGTTGGTTGGCTTAACTTGCTACCATGAAAGGATAGTGCACTGTTCTGATCACACACTTATAACTAGCTTATGTCTGCTTAGCAAACTTTTTACCAAGTAAAAATTATAAAAATAGAAATCAGCACATACTTTCCGGTGCTATTAATGGTGATGTAATAGTGCTTGGTGACTTCTTCACTTGGAAGAGTAAATAATTAGCAAAGACAGCAGAGAACGGTTACACTGATGTAGTAGACTGCTAATGAAATGATCCAGAGAATTAGCATACATTTTTTTTAAAAAAGGGCCTTTTTGCATAACCTTCCCCTTTTTATGACTGAACTGTTGCCACAGCACTGCCTGCTTTGGGCTTTTTAGCTTTTGCCTGGCTTTTTTGGCCGAAGAAGCAGTATATTTTCCTGGCCCTGAGAAGGTAGAAGAAGGGGTGGTTACAGCTGCTTATGCAAGCTATCATGAAGGATATGATGGTGAAGAGCGATATTCTCGGCACCTGTTTGTAGGAGATCATCAAGAAGTTCACTGTAGATGTGATGTAGTGGATCATCACCATGATCAGTAAGGTCAGCACGGTTTGGATGGCCCTAAGCTTGGCTGGGTGGATCTGCCTACTGCCTGGTCCACGTTGCTTCAAAACCCGGAGAACCTGGACGTTGCAGAAGAGCATGATGCCTAGCTCGCCAATCAGACATCCTGCCATGCATTCAAGCCCTCTGGTGTCATCGCCCATATAGTAGATACACAAGGAAAGGCAGACCATTGCTGTCCAGATGAACGCGCAGAGTGACAGGCGAAATTTCGGCATCTTGAATTTGAGGAACACGATAGGGTGGATGACTCCTATATAACAGTCCACGCATGTGCATGTCTGGAAAAGGGGTCCTGCAAACTGGTTCAGAAGCACAGAGCGTAACACCACCTCATTCAGCGAGGAGTAAATAGCATCGATGACCTCAATGGGCTGCAACAAGCAGCACAGAGCGTCCAGCAAGGCCAGGTTTATAGTAAAGATGTCAGAAGTTGAGCACAGGCTAGGCTTTCGGAAGAGGGTCCACAGGACGTAGATGTTGGTGGGAAAGCCCACGATGGGGACGACCACCGCTATAGGGAAGAATGTAATGAACAACTCGTCATTGTCAAAACTGGATGTGGCGTTGACTGTGAGGTTGGCTGTGAGGTTGCCTGTGCGGCCCATTTTGACCAGAAGCAATCACCTGGCTGATTAGTTCAATGATGAAAGCTGATGTAACAGAAACAGAATATGTTTATTGTTCATGTTTACAAGGCAAAACCTTACCAGGACAAACATGTTTCTGCTTTGTTGCCTGTACAGTTTGGCAAAAAATCAAATGTACCCCAAATGTAGCTGACCAACCAGTTTGCTTCCTTAGTAAGAAGTAGAACTAGTACAAGTATAGAAGTGCACTATGTGGCCAAAGGTATGTGGACACCCCTCCTGATTATTGAGTTCAGGTGTTTCAGTCACACCATCTCCTTAGACTAATACTGGCAGTCATACTGAAGAGCTCACTGATTTTAAATGTGGCACTGTTATAGGATGCCACCATAGCCATATGTGAGTTCACGAAACTTCTACCATGCTAGATCTGTCCTGGTCAACTGTAAGTGCTAATAATGAAATGGAAATGTCTAAGAGCAACAACAGCTCAGCCACGAAGTGGTAGACCACACAAATTCACAGAGCCACCCGAGTGCTGAATTGCATTACATAAAAATAGCCTATCCTGTATTGCATCAGCCACTACAGAGTTCCAAACTGCATCTGGAAGAAACATCAGCACAAGATCTGTGCATCATGAAATGGGTTTCCATGGCCGGGCAGCTGCACACAAGCCTAAGATCACTATGTGCAATGCCAAATGTCGACTGGAGTGGTGTACCACTACGACTAGACTCTGAAGCAGTGGAAATGTGTTCTCTGGAGTGATAAATTGCACTTCATTATCTGTTAGTTGATGGACGAATCTAGGCACCTACCACAATGCACAGTGCCAACAGTAAAGTTTGGTGGAGGAGGGATAAAAGCCTGGGTCTGTTTTTCAGGGTTTCAAGGCTAATGCTAATGCTACAGTATATAAAGACATTTTAGACAACTGTATGCTTCTGCATGCTTTTGTGGTAACAGTTTGGGGAAGACCCGTTCCTCTTCCAGCATGACTGAGTCCCTGTGCACAAAGCGAGCTCCGTGGTTTGACAAGTTTTGTGTGCACAGACCCCACTGAACACCTTTGGAGTGAACTGGAACGTCAATTGTGTGCCAGGCCTTCTAGTCCAACATTAGCGCCTGGCCATTTTAATGCCCATGGTTTTGGAATGGGATACACAAAGAGCTCATGTAGGTCTGTTGACCAGGTGTCCACATATTTTCAGCTAATATGTATATATTTCACACAAAAAGATTTTGGTTTCCATTATGGTCATTCCACACCATAAATTTTATGAACAAATTCAAGCAAAAACTAGCATTGTTAGCATTGTTGCATTCAGAAAATAAAACATAATTAACTTGCAGAAAACTGATTGGCTAAAGTTAAATGTTATTTCTAGGGTTGTACTTCAACCCTGTTACCCAGGTTACAACCCCGCTATTCAGTCATTTTTGGTGAAAATAGTCTTTACATATTTAACTTAGCAGGTTATGTTACCAGAAGTGTCAATTTGAATGAGAGTCATTAGTTAAAATTACTAATGCAAGAAAATATTACTTTTTGTTTGTTAGAAAGATATCACTCTAAAGGTTTATATTCTAAGTCTATATTGTTTTTGTTATTATTATTTTATTACTATATAAATAATTACTATAAATAATAAATTATACTATAAATTACTATATATATAATTAGAAAAAAGAAAACAGGAAAATTATTATTTGTTTGAACAGTTAAAAAAATATTTAAATACATACATTTCTTTTCTAGAAAGTAATGAAATCAATTGGCACAGACTTTCAAAAATTCACCACAAAAAACATTAGTAGCACTGATTTGACAGCCTGAGATGGGAAAATAACATGTTCTGAAGTTTATGCATTTCCTTTAATTAATATTTTGTCAAAAAACACAAGAAAAAAGAAAATTTTTAAAGACTTTCAAGGCCTGAAATGAACTTTTGTTCAATCATTTGTTTAATCATGCAAATGATTTTGACCATCCATTCTCAATCAAATGAGCTCTTATTTCCATAGGGCTTTACTGCAGGTGCCTGGAGCCATCCAATGAATTTATAGCCACTTATTTAACAAGAAGATTAAAACATTAAATATTATTGTTCATTTTAATATGATTATGCAAACAATTGCAAGGATGGATATGCAGTGTAAATGTCCCTTTCTAAAAGCTGTGTACTCAGGAGCTTCAGATTTTTAATACAACAATTTTATTCATAAGATTAAGATTAGATCATCATATTCATGTGGCGTTCATAAGACCACACAGAAGCAACTGTAAACATTTATAAAGGCTCATTCCAACAGGATCAGCTATCATTACACTTTTAGAATGAAAGGACATCAGAAATGACAAAAGCAGCTTTTTTGACAACTGGTGATTGTTATAAATATGAATGTAGGTTTATGTCAGTTGTTATTAAAAGCTTATGTAGCCTTACAAATGCTGCCCTTAATGATATGCTGTACATGAAAGTTCTTTCTAATTGATTTCAGCTCAGCTAGAAATAAGTTTTAATGTAAATCCTGGTGAATATCATTATATTTCACCAATGTTTCATATTTAACTTCTTGTCATTATCATATATTAACAGTATTTCAGAAAATGAAGTCTATAATTCATTTTGTCAGAGCTTGTAGTACAGTTTTGCTGTTTTTTGCTGTTATGGCAAATGTCAGTCTATAAATAAAGGCTTACCACTCTATCCTGGGGCAGATGAATCCTTCTGCTACAGAAAGCCTACACTGGAGTGTAACTCACAGTGCAACAACATTTGAATAAGAGCCGAATGATAAATAGCCTGCTTTATTTTACTAACCAGTGTTTATATTGTAATATCTGGTAATATGGTTTTATTTTGGTAAGGTCTATGAGTGGAAAGTCTTTAAAATAATTTCAGATAACTAGGTAAGTCTTATAATCAGTTAATAAGTAAACACTATCTTATTAACACTTATTAAAGCTCTATGAAACACATATGCCACATAAAGGCCTTGCAAATTAGAGTAAAAGGCACAGCAATGGGAGGTTTAAAAACGACAATATTCAGAAAACACATCATGTTTTATAGTCAACTAAATCTGGTTCAATTGCTTTGAACACCATTAATTTAGTTAAAAAATACTAAATCTCATATATTCATTGTCACATTTGCCACATCACTCCTAAGCTGTTCTATACATGTTATATGTTACCCCGTTAGGTGAGCTAGATTTACAATGAGCTCCATAATTATTGACACTTGTGGTAAAGCTGGATCAAAAAGGTCAATAATGATAAAACTATATATCACAAGTAATAGCACCCTTGCATTCAGTACCTCCCTTTGTGCAACCTCCTTTAGCCAACATAACAATAAGCTTCTCCTGTAATGAAGCTCATTCCATGATCTCCCCAGTTCTAGATCTTCTCATTAGGACTCACCATATCAAAAGACTGATTCTGTGGTCATTGAACCATTTTGTATGGATTCACACAAAAAGTAGGAACTGAACACAACCCAGGTTCAGCTTTTTGTCAGAGGGAGTCAGATCTTCATTTAAAATCTCTTAGTACTGGAGTTTGTGATGCTATGTTCATGATGCCTTGCAATGTTCCCAGGCCTGTTGAAGAAAAAGCAGCCCCAAAACATCACAGTCAACCACACACCATACTAAAAGTTGCGCTATGCAAGTTTTGGGGACCTCTCTGGTGGAAATGTGTAATGGCATGCAACATGCAGAAGAACCTTTTATAACATGGGTTGTGCTTTGGACCCCCTCCTTGAGTGGACGAATCTGACTGCAAGCGCGTTGAAACAGTTGAAACTTGCATTGAAACTTAAAAAAGGACGTGTCTTACAAGGATGTGAGTGAATTATCTACTAATGCCATCATATCTTTATCAGTGTAATGTTGATTTTGCATTTGAACATCTGATCATCAAGCTAGAACTTCTTTTTGAGTCTGTGTGTTTGATGTTAATGTGCAAAGATGTATGACATGGTCTGAAAAACTCAAATCCAACCTGACGCCTCTGACTTTTAAATGATCATTTCAGGCTTTACAGGGTGACTCCCAGCAGTGCACAAACACTGTATTTTAGCCTGTTTATTTTCTCCTGTCTCAGTAATGCTACTTCTTTTAATTTTAACAAAAAACTCTTACATAATGTAGCCTTAGCAGCATTTAACAGCCTTTATGACTATCCCACCTTGAGTCTTTGTGACCAGCTCTAATTTTGTCCCATCTGACCATAAAGCTCAGTTTTAGTAAGTTCCGGTAGTGCCAAGCATGTAACAGGCACTTATGTTTGTGGTTAGGATGAAAAAAATGTTGGAGTTACATTTTGATCATAAGAAAAGCTAGGAGTGCAAATATTTGTGATGTGATATTGTTTAAAGAAATGTTTTTTGATCATTTATATTCTTAGATTAAATTTTCTTCCATTAAAAGTTTCATATTTTCATTGTGAGACTGAGTTAATTAACCACAGATATTTTTTCATGATCTTTCTTTTTTTTTTACCCATCTTTACCAAAGGTGCCAATAATTATCAAGCATACTGGAGCTGTGTATACTGCCTTGTAGCTCATCTTGTAGACCCATGCAGACTGCTGCTTTAAGTGGGCTGAATGCAGTGCATTCAACAGTACAGAGAAGATATGAGAGGTGGACTCGGTCTGTCTCAGCCTATGTGTATCTCTTGGGGAAACTCTAAGTGGTGTCAAACTTCTCAAAAGAGATATCGGATCAGTTTGATCTTTCATGACCTCATGAACATGATAGCATGCTCAGTAAAGCTGACCCGAGATCAGTATTCTTACATGTTTAATTATGTATATGCCCTGAGCCTGAGAAATCCAGAACAACCTGTTTTGTCACATTGTGTTTACATTAAAGGAGCTATATCCAACATTTTTCTAGTATTTTATGTTTTTCCCTTGAGGTTGAGTTTTTTTGTGCCAAAAATGATCATAAATCATTTTTAACTGACCACTTTCCAGCCCCTCTTTATTCCTTAAAATAAA